AAAGTAAAATCTCATCATATCTATGGTACAGTTGTTTTTAGAACAATGCTTTACACTTTGATTATACGTGATCAATAATTCATTGAGGAAACTAATGAAGAATAGTAAATGTCAATATGAAAATCAGAACGAAAATTGCATTTAAATCATTTAAATGTTTCGCGATAATTATGCAATATCCTTAAAGTTTCTTGAGACTTTGAAAATTTTAGTCTTAGTGCAAGCCAAAACAAGATGCAAAGATCTAGTATAGTTTATTTAAGTATCATATAAATACTTGAACTTTGAAGAAAAATCCTTTAGACATGTAACTTACCACCATCAAACTCTCCCTTCAATGCAAGAGTGATTTTCTCATTTCTTTGCGACAAACGATCAAATGCCTGTACAACTTTAGACACAGCTCGTTTTGACACTTGTACACGGTTTGCTAATTTGTCATCTAATTCTTCTTTATCCCAGGAAGATAATTGCATAAGAAACGACGTCGTTGCTTCGCTCTCATCTATAATTAAAAAAAGAAAAAACTTGTTGAAAGAAATTTGTCCTAAAAAATGTTACATTGCATTTTTTCTACAAAGTCTATTTTTTTTTTACTTTATTTTCCGATTCGTCAGCAGTTTCAGCGTCAAATCTCTGCAGTAACACACGTATATCTTCATTGAGCTGATTCCAATATCGATTAACTACATTAAGTACTGCATCGTCTTGCATTTGACGTTTCTCTAATTGTTCAATACGTTGTCTCAATTCAGCTTCCATTCGATGTCTTTGTTCCAATCTCTGACAAATATATTGCAAATAAGAAAAAAAAAGCATAAAAAAATTAACTTGTATTATAATATTGTAAAAATAATTTACATATAACAGTACAACTATGTAATTATATATACATACATATAATCAAACATTACATATATGTGTATATATATATGTGTATACATATATGTGTATATATGAATTAATGAGTTCTAAGTTAGAGACATATATATATATATATATATATATATATATATATATATGTGCTCTAACTTAGAACTCATTAATTCAAAAACTTTTAAATCAAATTTTTATTCATTGTCTATAAGTTTAAGAAAATATAGATTAATTCAAAGTATTTATGTAAGTACATTAGTTACTTTATAATTCAAATTATTTCAAAATTGATGTTTAAATCTCCAAACAAAAAATCTCTTTCAATTCAAAGAATAAAACGTCTATAATTCAAAATACAAAAGGGAGTCAACATCAAAAAACTTCTTTTTCTTTTTTATATTAAAATAACTGATATATAAATATAATTAAATTTTCCACTTATTGTAAATTAAATATATTTAAACTTATATTTATAATATAAAAGCTCCCTTTTTTTAATTAAAAATCTTCCTAGATTCAAAATAACTTAAATTATTATGAATTCGTTTGGCATTAAAGATTGACTGTACTTTTAAATTTATGTCATGACACAAAGGGTGCGTTTCTTGCATGATATGCATCATTTATGTGCTTTGTTTAACATGCAGTAAATAATAAGGATAAATGATACATCATGTACATCATGCAAGAAATGAAATATACCCAAAGTAGTATATATAAGTAGTATATAGATACAAGATAACTAAAAAATTACCATAATTAAACATGTGTTAGTTTGTAATAAAGAATTAAATATTACATAAATATTATACAAGAATTAAATTTTATACAAAAAACTTTAATAAATAGTATTTATATTTAGAAATGTATATATAATAATTTTAATATTTATTATATTACATTTTTATTTATATATAATTATATAATAAATGCATATAACTAAATCAATGTATTAAAGCAAGATATTTTTAAACAGAATATAATAAATAACATTATTGGATAGACAGGTGTCTAATTTCTTTTTTGAATTTATATATCTAAATCCAAGATAATAGTTCATATTGTCAACTATATACCGTTACTTAATGAGCTCACATATATTATTTTTATGTATTTTTACATTACTTTTTCTAATTGCAAATCAACTAATTATAGATATAATGCATTTATACCTGTGCTAGTTTTTTGTTTTGAAACTGTAAAACTTTCATATCCATCTCCTCAAGAGTAGATATAGGGCCGATGAGAATCGGTTCAAATTGCACCTTTTTTATAGGTGGTTGGGAACTGGAGTCCCCGCTATCTACTGGTCGTTTCGACATCTTTGTGGATATATTCCGTCTCTGAAGCATAAATAATAGAAACTCAGTAAGTTACTTGTTTAAAATATTGAAAGATATTCGCTTCTTCACTTTTAAATTTATGACTAAATTCTATAACATAATGGAATATATATTCTATAAAAATTTAAATGTTAGTTTTTAAATGGTATATATGCCAAAATTCAATTCTAGAAAGTCAATTCTAAAACAAAATTTGTTTATCTTGAAAATTACTATGATGTAAAAATAATTATTTTCAAAAAAAGAGCAAGAGAACTTCTGCAAGGTTATGATTTTTAGAACATTAGAATATAGGCGCATATATAAGTATTGTACGTGATTCAACGTATAATTGGAAAACGTCGAACGCTAATTAGACGTGGCAAAAAAACTCGTAGAAAAAGAGAGCAAGAAATAGAAACAATTATTATGTTTTAAATTAAAAACGTTGATTCTAAGATGTCGTCCAGGTTCCGTTGCGTCTTTGCGACGTAGCCGGTAGCAAGGTTCGAAACAAGTTACGGATATAATCGGAATGATCGAGGCCGCTTTCAACGTGGACCAGCAGGTATGGGAGTGTCGTAGACGTTGATGAAACTTCTCGATCAGTCGAGGCTTCGGAGCTCCGAAAGGATAATATCATTGTT